AGAAGCCACATGTTTGCAAGGAGTGTGGTCACGGATTTTACCACAGGTCCAGTCTCATCACACACCAGAGGACACACTCAGATAAGAACCCCCATATTTGTAGAGAGTGTGGGCGAGGCTTTACCCAGAAATCAGGTCTCTGTTTGCACCAGAAGACATACTCAGGGGAGAAGCCTTATGTGTGCAAAGAGTGTGACCGAGGTTTTAGCCACAAGTCAAGTCTCATCAGGCACCAGAGGAAACACTCGGGGGAGAAGCTCTATGATTGCAGCGAGTGTGGCCGAGGCTTTACCCAGAAGTCAGTTCTCCTCCAGCACCAGAGCACACACTCAGGGGAGAGGTTGTATGTTTTCAGTCAGTGCCGCCGAGGCTTTAACTGGAAGTCCGGCTTCCTTCACCACCAGCAGATACACTCAGGGGAGAAGCCACACGTGTGCAAGGAGTGTGGGCGAGGCTTTCGCCACAGGTCAAATCTCATCACACACCAGAGTATACACTCTGATAAAAAGCCCTATGTTTGCAGTGAGTGTGGTTGAGTCTTTACCTAGAAGTTAGGCCTCCTTAGCCATCAGAGGACACACTCAAGGGAGAAGCCACATGTGTGCAAGGAGTGTGGCCGAGGCTTTAGCCACAAGTCAACTCTCATCACGCACCAGAGGGCACACTCATGTGAGAAGCTCCATGTTTGCAGTGAGTGTGGCCGGGGATTTGCGAAGAAGTCAGTTCTCCTTCAGCACCAGAGCACATACTCAGGGGAGAAGTTGTATGTTTGTCATAAATGTGGCCGAAGCTTTCAGTGGAAGTCAGGCTTGGTTTTCCACCAGAGAACACACTCGGGGGAGAAGCCCTATGTTTGTAGTGAGTGTGGCCGAGGGTTTTTCCGTAAATCAGGTCTTGTTTACCACGAGAGGACACACTCAGGGGAGAAGCCCTATGTTTGTAGTGAGTGTGGCCGAGCCTTTACCCATAAGTCCAGTCTCCTTTACCACCAGGGGACACACTCAGGTGAGAAGCAATATGTTTGCACTGAGTGTGGCCGAGGCTTTACCCAGAAGTCAGTCCTCCTTCAGTACCAGAGTACTCATTCAGGGGAGAAGTTATACGTTTGCAGTAAGTGTGGCAAAGGTTTTAATTGGAAGTCAGGCTTCCTTCACCACCAGAGGGCACACTCAGGTGAGAAGCCACATGTTTGCAAGGAGCGTGGGCGAAGCTTCAGTTTTAAGCAAAGCCTAGTTAGACATCGTCAGCAGGCTCACTCGGAAGCCCTTTGTTTGCAGTGAGTGTGGCTTTAGCCAGAAGTCAGACTCATCAGATATCAGAAGACAGGCTCGGTGGAGAAATCTTTTGTCATGAGTGTGGGCAGGCCATCACTGTCTATCACTCCTCCACCAGTAGAAGACCCGGAATGGGAGCTCTGTGTGGGCAGGGAGATAGGGCAGGAATTTGGAAAAAAGCAAGCTTCAGGATATGTCACAGAACAACTTTTATTGGGGAGCAGGAGAATCGTTATGAGAACAGGGGATGTGAGGTACTTCAGCAATAAATTCTACCTCCTCTTAAGCCTTTCAAGACCACAGCAATTTCTGCTTTTTGATTTTTGGTTGAAACGGAGGTTTTCTTCAACAGTGAAAAGCATTTTCAATAAATTGCAAAAAGATATGTTATCGAGGTAATGTAGATATTGATACAGTTGTTGTTAAGTGCCGTTGAGTCGGTTCCGACCCATAGCGACCCTGTACAGGGTTTCTGAGGCTGTAAATCTTTACTGGAGCAGAACGCCTCATCTTTCTCCCACAGAGCGGCTGGTAGTTTCGAACTCCTGGCCTTAAGGTTCACAGCCCGATTCGTAACCACTACGCTACCAGAGCTCCATTGATACAGTTAGTGGGACACATATGCCCTGAAGTATGCTCGGGTTGATGAGATGAGGCCAGCTTCTTTAGACTCATGCAGTTATATGTGCCTCATGCACTAAAAGTGGGATAAGACTTTCCCTTTATACTCCTGAGAGTCCTGGTGTGGTGCTATAGGGTAACCACTGGACTGCTGGCTGTAGGTTGGCAGTTCAAACCCACCAGCTACTCCTTGGAAACCCTATACAGGGTCCCTATGAATTGGAATCAACTCAATGGCTCTTAACAACAAAAAAATTACACCCCTGAGTTTGGAAATGTAGGTATGCAGATGTCTTATAGATGATAAAAGGAGCAAAGTTTGCCAACCCACGGAGCTTGAGCTGAACACATACAGGCTGAGGCTTACTGGCAGAGTGGGTGCTATGGGTACATATCAGCAGAGCTAGAAGAACTTTATAACATTGTCTGAGCAGGGTGGGGGCCAAGAGGCTGAAGGATAGAAAGAAGTGTACCTGCAGGGGCAGCTGACAAGAGGATCTCCTGGTCAAAGAACTGTATCCTGAATAATTTCTCATCCTGAATTGTAATCTGTTGATGTATAAACCTCATATTCATGAGTATTGTCTAAGTTCTGTGTGGTTATTGCAATGAATTATCAAACCCAAAAGAGATCAAGCGTAGGAGGGATGACTTGGTGTAAGAATTGGTCAATGTTTGGTGTAAGAATTAGTCAAAAAGTTGTAGGATAGACACAGTTCTGACCTCTGCCTCATTGGAATCAGTCTTGGACTGTTGATCTTGACCTCCTCCCCGCTTGTGAAGTTAGAGGAGGTCAGAGGTATCCATCATACCATTCATATATGTTGTTGTTAGATGCCCCTGAGTTTGTACTGACTCATAGCAACCCTCTTCACAACAGAATGAAACACTGCTGGTACTACACCAACCTCATCATTGTTCCTACACTTGAACCCATTGCTGCTGCCACTTTGCCAGTCCATCTCATTTGGAGTCTTCCTCTTTTTCACTGATAGTCCACTTTACCGGGCATGATGTTTTTCTCCAGGAACTGGCCCCTCATGATAGTATGTCCAAAGTATGAGAGACAAAGTATGGCCATCCTGGCTTCTAAGGAGCATTCTGACTATGCTTCTTCCAACACAGATTTGTACAGTTCCTGGTACTTTTAGTATTCTCCAACACCATAACTCAAATGCATCAATTCTTCTATGATCTTTATTCACTGTCCAACTTTCATATGCATATGAGGTTACTGAAAATACCATGGCTTGGGTTGTTGTTGTTGTTAAGTGCCATCGAGTCGGGTCCGACCCATAGCGACCCTGTACAGGGTTTCCGAGGGTGTAAATCCATGGCTTGGGTTAGGCACACCTTAATCCTGAAACTGACAGTATAACTGAATCATAGGGGAATGGACTTCCCACACACACATTACTGAAAATTAATGTCAAAATCATTCATTGTCAATATGGGGACCTCCCAACTATCCTTACTAACAGCTGTTATATTGAAAACTCATTACTGGCAGGCACTTCCCTAAACATTCAGTACCCATTCTGGTATCTTCACACCACCTCAGTCATTTTCTGTTGTCCTCTTGATGTCAACCTGTAAATGGAGACACTGAGGCTCAGAAATGTGAATAATCTCGCCCAACGTTACACAGCCAATAAGTGACAGAACTAAAAGTGGGTTTAGATCCATCCAGCTCCTCACCTGATACCTTTCTCCCATGTTACCCTGTCTCACCACATCTTGAATGCAAGCATCAATAGTATTTATTTAGCGCCTGTTAAGGCCAGGCAGTACCTAAGGACAGTGTGTTCTATGGTGAATTGTGTATTGCTGTGATGCTGGAAGCTATGTCACCGGAGTTTCAAGTATCAGCAGTTTCACCCGTGGTGGATAGATAATCAGTGGAACTTCCAGACTAACGCCAACTAGGAAGAAGGAACAGGTGATCCATTTCTGAAAAGTTAGCCACTGGAAATAGTCAATACCAGTATGTAGTGTGAAAAAATGAGCCTTTCAAGTTGGAAGACAAAGCAAACTACAGAAGAGCTGCCTTTTCAAAGTACAGTTGACTTTGATGTGGATCTGAATGGAGCAGTGCATCTGGGACCTTCATTTGCTTAATGGACAGTCAAAATTGAGAAGAAACAGCTGCAAACCTCCATTGATAATCAGAACATGAAATGTACTAAGTATGCATCTAGGAAAACTTGAAGTCATTAAAATAGAAATGGAAAACATAAAGATCAATGTTCCAGGCATTGTTATGTGCCATCAAGTCACCTCCAACCCATACAGACCCTGTATAGGGTTTCTGAGGAGTGGCTGGTGGGCTTGAACTGCCGACCTTGCCATTCAAACCGACCTTACAGTCCAGAGCATTAACCTACAGCACTACACCAGGACTCCTAGGCAGTAGTGAACTGAAATAGGCAGTTATTGTGGAAATCTAACTATACCAATAACAACACATGCAAGTAAAATTTTGCTGAAGATTATTTAAAAACGGCAGCAGTAGTATATCAACAGGAAATTGTCCAGAATTCAAGCCAGATATAGACGAGGGCATGGAACTAGGGATATCATTGCTGACATCAGATGGATCTGGAACCTAGAAGTGAAATAGACCTCTCCCAGGTTTTGTAGCTAAGACAGTAAGTGCTAGGAAAGAGGACATAAATAGGGTTTACTAAGCTTACAATGATCATTGTCCTGAATACATTAATTATGGCAGGTATAAGTAATCATGGAGGCTATTGCTTGTAAAAGAAAATATTTTTTCTTGCTTCAATTGAGTGAGGGTTGTGTTGTTTGATGATCAGGGGAATATTGGCAAATATGTTAATTTATTAGGCCTATTCAGGCTATTAATCAATTAGAACTAATTATTACAATTAGCCACCACTCATCTGTCAGTTTGTGGTACTGTGGTGGCTTGTGAGTTGCTGTGATTCTGGAAGCCATGCCACCGATATTTTAAATACCAGCAGGGTCACCCATGGTGGACAGGTTTCAGATGAGCTTCCAGAGGAAGACAGACTAGAAAGAAGGAGTGATGAACTACTTCCGAATATTTAGTCACTGAAAACCTTAGGAATAGCAGAGAAACACTGTAAGATATAGTGCTGGAAAATGAGCCCCTCGGATTGGAAGGCACTCAAAATGCGACTGGGGAAGAGCTGCCTCCTCAAAGTTGAGTTGACCGTGATGATGCGAATGGAGTAAAGCCCCTGGGAGAAAAGCCTGCGGGACCTTCATTTGCTGATGGGGCACAAGTCAAAATGAAGAGAAACAGCTGTAAACATCCATTAAAAATCGGAACATGGAAACCTGATAGTAATTCTGACTCTGTTAAATCAAAAGGAGCTTGGTTAGTTTCTGCTAAAGTTGAGATGAATCATATTATGGCTAGTGGTCAGGTAGGGAAGATTAAGCGAATGTGTTCTTGTGTTAGGATAAGTGAAGACAGTGTAAACGATCCATTTAGGAACATCACCAAGAGGAGGATAATGGCTAGGGAATCTTCATATGAAATTGTTTGGACTACTGCTTGTAATAACGCCAATAAGAATGTACTTTGAGTTGGATGCTCAGCCTGATGATAGAGTAGAATAGGCTGCTAAACTTGATGATGCTAGAATAAGTAGTAATCCGAGGTTTATACTTATTAGTGAATTTGGTTTTGGTAAGGGAATTCAAATAGTTAATGCTAAGGGCTAAAATAGGGGCTATAGTGACTATTAGTACTGAAGAAGTTTGCGAGCGGAGTGGTTTCTTTGTTGAAAAGTTTTATTGCATCTACAATGGGTTTTAATATAACTGCATGTTGTTGTTGTTAAGTACCGTGGAGTCAGTTCCGACTCATAGTGACCCTGTACAGGGTTTCCGAGGCTGTAAATCTTTATGGAAGCAGAAAGCCTCCTCTTTCTTCTGCAGAACAGCTGGTAGTTTCAAACTGCTGACCTTGAGGTTAGCCTCCTGGTTCGTAACCACTATGCTACCAGAGCAGGTCCAGGATCAGAAGTGCTCAGGACACAGTTCTAGTCAGTACAACCTTTCCTCCGTCATGTCCACAGGAAGGCCTCTCTCTGCCTAGGCAATGTTACGAAGCTCTTTAAGGACTTCTGATAAATGTCTACATGTCACTCCACGCCACCAAAACCCTGAGCGTGAAATCACTTGACTTTAGCTCCATTCAACACCCAACTCCGCGCCACCATTTTAGTGCCTGCGGACCCCCGCCCCCTACATTACAAACAAGTTCAAATCAATCAGCTTTATGTGTTCCCAGGGTTGGGAGCCCATCGCTCTGCTCCTGCTCTGGTTCTTGGTTCTGCTTCCCCTCTGTTACTCCTGTCCCTGGGTGAAGGAGATTTAACGCACAGTGATTT